GGACGGACAAGCCCAGGGCTGCGGGAGGGGGCAGAGGGCCAGGATGGGTGCTGGGAGGGGGGGCTGCCCCGCAGACAGGGGACCCGAGCCTTGGGGTTGAGGAGGCAGGGAACAGAGACGAGCCCTCCCGCTGCTCCTGCCCTTTGCCAGCCCTATTATATCCAAAACAAACAGAGCAGCAGCCTCTGCCTCCCCGTGTACCAGCAGAGTTTAATATTCCCCAGTGAATGGCCCAAACACGGAGCCCCGCGGGTCGGTGCTGCTCACCGGGACTCGGCTGCGGCCACTGATGAATTGCACAAAGGGAGGGACCCTCTAATCCCCCAGGACCGTGGCACCTGCACCCCAGCCCAGCTGGGATTAAAGCAGAGCGAGCTGGTCTCTGCCAAGATCAGAGGCTTCTTTACAGACGCCTTGAAATAGGATTTCCTCAAGTAATAAGGGGCAGGGTGGGAAGATGATCTGGGGACGGGGAGGGGCTGTTGGTACCTGATCCCACGTTGAGCCCAGAGATGCTCTTTTGTGTCACTTGCCTGGAACCTGGTGCCCCAGACCTGCAGGAGGTGCAGAGCACCCTCTAGTCCCAGGGATGGTTGGTTGGTCCCTCCTCACCATGCCCCTCCATCCCCAGCACCCACCAAGACAAAGATGTGGGCTCAGTGCCCACTGCCCTCAGCTCCTGCTCTCTCCCCTCTCCAACAGACCAGGGAGCTGCAGCTATTTCAACTCATCTTCACATCATTCTGGTTTCTGTTGGTTTCCAGTGTGAAAATTGTGGAAAATTCCCTTCGTATCTTTTCCAGCCTTAAAAAGGCAGAGAAATGCCTTGACTGCAACAGGCACCTGCACTGCTGCTCACAGCACAGCCAGGGAAAAACCTCCTGACCAACCAAATGAAAGCTAAACTGCTCCTTACATGGAATAAAACACATGTGCTGCTTGACAGGATACACCAACACCTTTATCTGCACAGGACCAACCTGGCACCACAAGATCCCAGTTCCTTGCTCTGCACCACAGCCCTACAAGCACCAACAGCCCCAAAAATCCCCTCTGAGAGTGGGATGAGCCAAGTGGGTTTGCAGGAGAAGCAGTGGCACGGGTGGGACCTCACAAACATCCACGTTGTGGCAAAAAGCTTCATGTTAAATACCACAAACTCCCCCTCCAACCACCCCACCCATCTCCCACCCAGCTTACTGTAAATACATTGTTGCTCTAATGCAATTAAATATTTAATACTTGGGGAAGAAAAAAACCACACAACATAAAGTCTCAAGCCTGCCTGTCTCTTTCAATAATAATTTTGGTTTAACTCTCAATGTCCATAATGTAGTTTGTTCTGAGATCATGCAAAATTAAAGAAAGTATTTTAGACTACCTGAAAGTCTCCCCTCTGCTTCCAAAATAGCCTTTGCCTCTTCAGGCACAACCCAATATAGAGCACAGGAGAGCACTGGGGTCATCCTGAACCCAATGAGATGCTTGAGTGACGTGTGTTCTTGGGCTGCTGCTCAGACACGGTTTGCAGAAGGGTTGCAATAAATTCCTGTTTAGCACCAAGTCTCTGGGCAGGTGCCACCCAGCCCAGGGGGGACCCATGAGACAAAGGGCTGAGGTGCCTCTGAATGTGGATCCTGTGGTGGATTCATGCTGGGAGGGGAGCAAGGTCATCGTGTGCCTGAGCCCAGGCCTTGGGAGAGGGATTGTGCTTGAAGGAAGGAAGGTGATTTGTAGAAGAGAGGAAAGAGCAGGAGCCCAGAAAGCTGGGGCTGGGGATCTCCCACCAGGACACTCACCTGGATGGCCTTTAACTCTGGTTTCCTCCATCTCTAGATGTTGTTGCTCCAGGGATAGTGTTGTCCCAACTGAAAGTCCTTCTGTGGGAGTTCCCTGCTGGTCCCAGGACTGACACCTGGGCATGGTCCTGTACCAGGTGCTGGTCACCTGCAAGGAGGAAAAGGCTGGGCTGTCTCTGCTGCTGCTCATGGACCCCAAAGCTCCAAACCTGGCCCACATGCTGGCTCCTAAGTGGTGCCCTGGGGCCCTGCCCCACTCCTTGCCATGAAAACTCATGCAGTCAGTGCTCAACTTGCTTTGTTTGGGGATTAAACTTGTCCAAGAGCTGAGCAGGAGACTTGATTCCTCTCGTGGATGCCCCAGGACCACAGCAGCATCTGAGCCAGGAGACACAGGAGCTGCCTAGAGACCCCAGAGTGAAACACAAGGTGCCCTGGCAGACCCTGGGGTGGGATTGACCATCACATCAACCCACAGGAGCAGGACTGGAGTGAGGTTTGGGGGAACCCACAGGTCACCAGCCCCTTGTGAGGTCCCAAAGCATCTTTTCATCTTCTGCCCTGCCCCTCTCCCACCCATGGTGGGCTCATAACAGACAAAAGTGCAATGGCTGCAGCCCCTCTGCCCTGAGCAGGCAGCAACAATGGAAAAATTGCTGAACTTGGGGAACATTTCAAGCACTTCAGCCTTCCAGGACACCAGACTGCTGATGAAAACCCAGCTTTGCAGCTACCATCTTAATGACAGGCCAAATTTCAAAGGCTTGCAAACTATTTCTTGCCCCACCCCCTCAATAAAAGGTTGCATCAGAAAGAGATATTTCCATAATTTATAGTATGAGTATTTCACTGGGGAGCCTCACTAATCTGTACTTACAGATACATTTAAGAAAATGCATCCTCCCTCAGTCCTGCGCCATTTACGACTATTGGCACAGTCTGTAATACTCAGTCTTCAATTAAGGGACACCTTAGGGTTCATTATCACACAATTGCTCCCTGTGAACCTTGCCAAATGCTGTTTTGGCACAGAGCTTGGAAGATGAATTAGAAGGAAGTCTTCTCGGTAATGCCCGCTCCCAATTCCCATCAGCAGCCCTTATGCCCTCCTCTAGCCATTTTTTCCCCCCTCTTCCCTCTTTCCAAGTGGCTTTTACTATCCCATCTTTCAATGTCTCTCTTGATTCTCTGGAGGTATATTTAGAGATGCTACATCTCCTCTTCTTCCGGCTCTCAACATGCCTCCTGCTTTGCAGATGGGATCTTCTTCCCTTACTCCCTCCCTCCCCCCTGTCTGCAGGCTGCCTGGGGAGGGTTGGATGGAGCTATTTTAGGTTGGAGGAGCACAACATTCCTATTTTACAAAAAAATAAAGGGCTCTGAGAAGGTGCTGGTCACCACCAAGCCTGGCCTAGCTACAACCCCAAGTTATGTATCCGAGAGCAGAGGATGGTCAGAGCTGTGTCCCCCTGCACCCCCTTCCCATCCCAGGGCCAGGGCGGCTCCACCAACCCCCTTTTGCAGGGAAGACAAGTCCTGGATGGATTTATCCACAAACACAAAGTTGTGGAAGAGCAACAAGTTCAAGGTATCCAAATCAGGGGCTGCCACCTCCTTAACAAGCCACAAAACATTCCTGTGGCTGTCACTCCACGTCGAAAACTTCCCTGCATCAAAACCAACCCAGTTCCAGCCCAAAAAGCTGCAACTACTACACCTCCGTGTCACGGAGCCAGGAGATGCTTTGCCACGGAGTTATTGGGAGTCTCACTGGGAACAAGGCTCAGGGTGGGTGTGAATGATCATCCCAAACTCCTGAGGGATGAGGAGGAAGGTGAGAGGAGCCGGGGGCGCCGCAGAGAGGGAGCAAACGGAGCCAAACAGACTGGAAATACTTCACCCACAAGACACCTTGTGGAAATTTTATTATATAGAGTGTAAAATGCAACTGTCAGTCAAATAAAAAGAACACTTGTTGTTTTTTTTAAAACACCATGCTCGACATTATCCAATTGCTTTTGTTTGTTTTTAATAGTTAGACATTTCAAGCATAAGGAAAAATAAGGAAAGAGCCCAAGAACAGTCACTTCAGTACATTTCAAAACGGAATGTCCTGCAGGGCAATTAAAAATGCAAGAAAAAATAGCTTCAATTCCGTTTTTTTCCTTTAAAAATACACTGTTATCTGTACAAGAAACACTACAGTAAACATTGGAAATCATATTATCCCTTTTATTAAAATCAAAAATTATTTAGAGCGTACTGTGGTTAATACTAGATTCATTTATTTCTCTAGGTAATTTGACAAATATTAGATAGGAAAATATTTAAAAGAAATGAAAAAGCAAAAAAACAAAACAAAACAAAAACCACCTTGGAATTAAAAAATAGTTACTACCTTTTTTTTTTTTAATATGGTTTTATGTTCCACAGTGTTTGTTAAAAGGTACTAATAGCAGATTCATTTTAATATTAAAAATAACAGTATTTATATTTCTGAGAGCATAGAGGAAAAGGGTTTTTTTTCTCTTTTTTTTTGTTTTGTCTTTTTTGTCTTTTTTTTAAAACAAGCTTGGAGGTCTTAGATCCATAAATGCAACTAACAATGGAGACATGACAAAATGTATTGCTAAAAAAAAAAATTAACACGTTTTTATATTACCCCTTTAGACTCTAGAAATTATACAAACCCTACAAAAGCCCCCCCCCTGCTCATAACTTGTCTGACAGCAAAACAGACAAGTGTTCTGTCTCAATACAGAATTCACATCATTAATTACAATACATAGCTCAGGTTTTTTCAAACAATGCAATAAAAATCAAAAGACAAGCCAAGATACAAGAAATTAGAAGTAAAACATTTAATGACTTTACATATTTAAGAATATTTAAATACTGTTTAAAAGTGTTTTTGCTTTTTTTTTTCCTCTTTAGGATTTGTTACATACCACCTAAGACTTCCAAGCCACTTTCTGTTGCAACAGAAAAGATTGAAAAAAAAAAATTAAAAAGGAAACAAACAAACAAAACAACAACAAAAAAACCCCACACATAAAAACACCCACCCCCAATCCCCCCAACGTGTTGAAATGTCACAGCTCTGGGGTGCATTTTGGTGCCTGAAAATTCTCTGGCTTCTCTCCAAAAAGAATCCCGGAGTTTTTGTTTTTGTTTGTTTTTGTTGTTTCTTTCTTTTTTTTTTTTTTTACAAATTTGGAAACAAAAATTACCAGCGTGTCCGTAAGTTTAGTTACATGACTAATTGTTCCTGATTCTTAGAAAAAGTTCAGTATAGATTATCCTACAGCTAGTGTTTCACAAACAAACAGAAAAGTCTTCATCAAAATGTTGCAAATCTAGAAACCTCTGTTACAAAAAGGTTTGTTTCCACAATGATTCCATTCCAAGGAAAAACAAAAAAAAAACCAACATCAAATAAAAACAAAATTGCCACGAGGACCTTGTTCTACTGCTCCTAGAGAAGGGAAGAAAAGGGAAAGTTACTCAGCAGCAAATTCTTCAAGCTCTGGAGCCTCCTCCCCTGACACAGACAGGTCCCCGTTCCAGCCGAGCAGGGTAAGCAGCTCAAACCGCTATGGAAGAGCTCCCTGTTCTACCGCTATTCCTGAGCTCTCCTTCCAGGACTTCATGCCTCTTTCATGGAACAAGCTCTCTCTTCTCTAGCGGGCCAGACTTTGAGAGAGGAATGAAGAAAAACTCCCTTTTATCCCTGCTTCTGGGTCGCCCTTGGCCAGCGCCCGCGGCAAGTGCCGGTTCCTGCGCCTGCCTCGACCCCGGCAAGCAGCGGCTGCTGGGGAACGGTGCTGGTGGCTCCCTGTGCTGCCAGCTCCCTGTGCTGCCAGTTCCTGCTCCCAGCAGCCAGAGCTAAGGTTTAAGTCTGCTCTGCACATACTTTTTTTGCCAAAAATACCAAGACATTCACTGTGCAAACCTGGCGCTCAGGAAAGCCCAGCAGGTGTGATGGGGGTAAATCCCACCCAGCCTGAGGTGCTCCGGAGTGACACGGGAGATACAATTTTACTTGGCAGCTGGTTAATGCAAATGATTTTTCAAGTTTTCTGCTCCCTTTCAGGACAGGCTGCTCCCTTCCCAGGCAAGCACACAGCTCCTATCCCAGCACAGAGCTTCCAAGAGAAAAGGTAAAGCCTGCACAGACGGTTCTGGACTGCACGGTCCTGTGACAGCTCAGCAGCCTGGCTCCAGCATTCCTTTTAATTCCCCAAAGTCACAAAACAGACTGGGGGTTACAAGGAAAGGTCCCCAGGAGAAAAAAATAACCTCCCATTCCACTCCCCAAAAAATCCCTCATCCTGTACAAGGAAACAATACCCCAACATTGAAACAACACGACAGAGCATCGAGCAGCTTCTCACTTCTGTGATCACATCCTCTGCCACAAAATATCTCTCTGCTTCACCATGTAAACCCAAAGCAGAGTCCCCACACCAGGGGGCAAGGCCAAGGTACCCAGTTCCCCAGGGAAAAGAGCAGTGGGGTTCAGGGAATATCAATACAAACCTGGCTGTGGGCCTGAGCCTGCCCTAGTGTCTGCCCATAGTAGGCAGCCTGCTGTCTGTAATACTCTGCCCAAGCCATCGTGTAGTCCGGCTGGGAACTTGCCTGAGAAGCAGCACTGGCAGCGTGACCTGGAGGAAAAGAAGGGAAAAGGGAGAGATGAGCAATTCAGCAAGACCAAGCCCAGGCTCAGGATGTCCTTTTGTAATGCTTAAAGGAGAGCCAGCCCCCTTCCACCAGCTGCAGACATCCAAGAGAGCAGCACCAGCTCTCTGCTGCTCCGGTGCCACAGGACAGGCTTGGGGCTGGCTTGCAAGTGACAAACTGACATCAGCCAGAAGAGGCTGTTCCTGTGGCTGCAGGGCCACAGTCTGACAGCTTGCACCCTTCCTCCTAAGCCCCAAGGCTCCAGCAGCACAGTCTCAACCACAAATCCTGAAGTCAGCACTGTGTGCTTCTTTACGGAGTGGAGAAAGCCAGACCCGTGTTTTCCCACCCGTGCAGTGCTCTCCTATCCTCTCAACAATCCAGTTCCAGCTTTCAGGGTTTTGCTGGCAGCAATTCCTGTTGTGCTCTGTCTTTCCCTCAGGCAGGCAAACTGCCAGCCAGGACACGAGAGGTCTGTGGACTGGGGTTCAATGGGAGAAGCTCTCCCAAGGCACGACAGCAGGCAGCACAACTGAGAGCTTTCAGCAGAAATTCATGCACCATCATCAACTGGAGAGGACCAAGGGGACTTTGCAGAGGACTGGGAGCTACTAATGGCAGGGGATGGAGATGCAAGTCATTGGATTAGAGTTAACTCTGCCTGTAACAGGAGCTGATTCATCTCCAACAACCCTGTCTCACTCTGCTTTTTTAAATACCCCTCCCATGCTTTGCTGTAATTGGGCTGGTTGTTCTGCTGTTGGATCTGTTGGCCTGTGCAAAGATGACAAGGGGCTCATCAATATGGAACAGGCAACAGTTTCCAGCCAGTGACATCTGCCTTTCCACTTGGCAGGCCCTGGATCTACTGCAGTTGCCCAGATTTCACACCTTCTACAGTGTAGGGTATCTCCAGTTCAGGTAAATCAGAGGAAAAGCTCCAGTTCCTAATTTCATCCATCATCTTTTATCTCATCAGCTCTCATTAAGGGCATTAAGCCCAGTCTCTTCCCTGCTGGAACTGGCTCAAGCCAAAGCACATCAGTTGGGAACTGCTCAGTTTGCAGATCAACCCCCCTAAGAGGTCAGTCCAACCCCATCTAGCACGGGGCTGGAGGGTTCAGACCTCTGACAGAACCACAGCCTGTCACCTTGACCTCCAACCACAGAGCTGCTGAGGAAACAGCCATGTTTTGAGTCACCTCACTTGGTTTTCATTGGTCTGCATCCTTTACCTCCACTCTTAGCAGCAGCACAGGTCTGAAGGAGCCCCAGTGGGCACTGCCCATCTGTACAATGTGTCCACACACAGGTCTGCCCCAGGGCAGCTCTGAGCAGCCAAACCACTGCTGGCTGCAGTCCTCAGGACCACAGGGAGATGTGAGCCCAGCACAAAGCCCAGCCAGCTCCACCTGGACCATCTGGAGAGGCACCCATGACACTCTCCTAACCACCAGCACTAGCCCTGTGGGGATCTTCAGACTCCTGCAATGCAGTCAGATAAGCAGTGCCAACTCCTGCACCGAGTGACACCTCACAAACCCCAAAACCTTGGTCTTCTCCTAGCACACACTCTTCTCTCTTTGAAGTACTAAGACCCCTTGGATCCAGCACATCCCAGTGCTGTTGCAGGGGAGAGTCCAGCCAGCTGAGTGCAGGGGTGAGATGCCCACACTTCTCTTTGTCACAGTTAGAGCAAAGAGCCCTCAGCCAGACACAGCAAAGGAAAAACTAGCCCTGAACAGAAAACACAAGGAGAGAACTGCAGGGAGAGGCAGGAGCAGAGCCTGAGTGCTGAGCACAAGCCACTACACATGGGGACAGCAGGCAAGGACAGGAGACACCCATGGAGAAGAGCTCTTCCCGTCCCATCCATCCTCCCTTGCTCCCAGTACAAGGGGAGGGGGCTTTGAAGTGGGGGGAAGGGGGAAAATAATACACTGCAAGTGTGAAGTGGGTGGAGGGAACAGGGCAGCAGAGTCCTGTCCAGGGGCATAAAAGCGGGTTAAAAGACTTGACCAACGCTACAAGTCAGGACCTTTTCTGGCAGAGGTCAAGGCTGCCTCAACTGTCCACCTGCTAATGCCAACAAAGAACCTCCTTCAATGCCTTTTCTTCTTGGAGAATTACAGTCCACAGCAGGCTGAAAGGACACGCAGCTAAATGCATTTCACAGCAAAATGTTTCCCCAGTCAGTTAATTTAAGATGGGGGAAGTAATTAAAATCTAAATACATGTGTAGGGGGTGGGGGCCTGCCCCTCCTCCCACCAGGAGGGCACTCTGGAGTCTGTCCCTAGGAAGCCAGCTCTTTGACAGGGCTCACAGAGCAGCCAGCAAACAGGCTGCAGGGAAGGGAGCCTTCCCAAGACTCTTTCCAAATTTGAATGCAAAAGCAGGTTATTAACCTAGTTTCTTATCATAATTGCCCCTTGGTGAACTCCACCTGGCCTAACTGCCCACCACTGTGATTTGCAGCAGAGGAAAGTGGTGAAGGCTGCTTAAAGTACAGCAGCATCTTGTGTGTCTCCCATCTACAATTTTTGTACAGCTCCCCCTTCTTCCCAAAGCCCAGGGAAGTCCAGATGCAGAAGAAAGGATTGGAATAACAATTTTTCCTGTAAAACAATTAAATGGGAAAACACTCTCCTTCAGGACTACACTATTTCACTCCTCTACAAAAAAAAAAAAAGTCCTTTCAAGCCCACCACTGGAGTTTGCTGTCCTGAAAATACAACTATTGATCTTCTGCAAGTCCTGGAGCTCAAAGGAAAAAATAATGATTTTTAGACTGTAATTGCTGAGGAGCAGGACTCTTCCAGAAGCATTTTTTGAGTTGAATGCACACTCTCCATGCAGAGTTCCTACAACCCACTGTAGCACACAAAAATGAACAACACAGCACTGAGGATTTCCAGATTTCACACATGCAGAATTTCATAAAAATTAAAACATGGTTAGTGCTACAAGGAATCACAAATGCAATTGCAGGTGTTGCTCCTCCAACTTTTTCTGTACTTCAGGTAACCCCAGGATTGGGAATTTATACTGGAGTTAAACAATCTACTTCATTCTAACTCAGTCTTAGCACCAAAAAGCACCTTCTGTTAAACACTTTAGAATTACCCCTCATAGACACACACTTTTTGGTGTTTTGCTTTAGTTTTCACAAGACCAGACTGTTAAAAAACCCTCATATTTCGTGAAAAATTGTGTTTGAAAAATGTCTGTTGGATATCACTGCCCATGACATGAGGTCTGAGATTACCAAGCAGATGATGAATCTGCTCTTTTTAGGGCAAAGCATCACTCTGGCTGTTGAGGACACAGGATGATGCAGTCACCCATGTCACCACTACCATTTATGACTCCTGTTACTCTGAAGAGGGGGACTCCCCATTCCAAACTGCTGTATTTTGACTCAACAAGGTTTTGGGAAGAAATGACACTTTGAACCCTAAAGAGTAACAGTCAGTCTGACTCTGTGCTGGTGGCTTGAACTGGAAAGCCCAGCAGCAGTAGTGAACTTGGTTCAGTTTTTGAACTCATGACTAAGGATGCGTTTGCACTGTTGGTTTTTTGTTTTGTTTTTAATTGTTGGTTTTGTGGATTTTTTTGTAATGTATTGATTTGAAAGCTGATTATCCCACTGGTCTCATTCTGAGAATTTAGCTCTGTGGAGGCTGAGCAGTTCTCATCAACTCCCAAAAGGGAGACAAGGGGACACTACTACAGCCAGTGATGAACCAGGATAGGAGAAATGCACATTCTTTCTTCCATTTTCTTCATCTCCTTTCCCAGTCTCTCCACCAGACTGGCAATTGAGCAATAAGAAGAGCTCATAATTATGGAACATTTAAAAAAGAAAGTAAGACCTGATAAGGTCAAGAACAAAGTCATGGGAGGGCTCACCAACAAACAGGGTGTGTCTGTTAGGGGGAAGTGCTTGCCTAGGGAACCCTGGCAGAAGAGAGGCCAAGGCAGAAACGTTGTTCTTAAGAGAGCAACAGGCAGCAAGGGCCATGTTCTCACCACACAAAGAGGACAGAAACAGGCAGTAAGCAGTTAAGTGCACAAACAGTGTCACAGTTTTCAATGGACTTCAGCTTATTTTGACCCCAGGCAGCACACCATGCCTCCAGCACCCCTCTTCTGCTCAGGAAACTTTTGCTGTTTTCACACACGTGATCTCATGGATGAACTCGTGTTTTGCAGGCACAAAGCAGCAACTGCAAAGGGAACACACCAACTCTTCTCCAACCCAGGTCCTAGACACTTACCTGGGACTTGCTGTCCAGGCTGCTGCCACGTCTGGTAGGTACTGCCCCAACCCTGCGTCATGAATGCCTGAGGGCCACTGCAGGGGACAAAGAGGCACTCTGAGCTAGGCAACAAAATACTTACAGGCCACATACATGATGTTGCCCAAAGAAACAAAATTGTTACTTGGAGTCAAGGGCTGCTGAGCAAACAGGTGAACATGGGACAAAAGGAAAGGCTGTGCAGGAGTGACTGTCAACTGCCTTGATGCTGATCTGCTGATGAAGCCAAGGTGAAGTCCCATCACACTGAACAGCCCTTCTTGTGCTCTGAGCACTTGAGGCTTCTTTCCATGCTCACTGCACTAGAGACAGGAATTCTGGAGATGCCAGCACCGACCTGCTTTATAACTTAATAGCTAAAATCCTGCAGTCAAGCTTACAGGTTTTATCTCATGTCCTTCTGAATGCTCCATCTGCTCCACTTCTACTTCACCCCCTCAGGGCCCTCCACCCTTCTCCCAGTGCTTTCACAGCTCCCAGCCATTCCCCACAGCCCACCTATGATGAGATGGAGATCCTTACTTTTGATGAGGTGTCGTGGGTGCTTGGCTGAACGGACTTTGACCAAATCCTCCAGGTCCACCCATGCTGGTACCCTGTCATGGAATCCACAAACACTTAAAGGCAGCTCTAAGTACAGGGTGCAGACAGCCAGCAGGAGCAGTAAGAAAGGAGAGAAAGCAGCCTGGGACATGTTCCACTAAACCCCAGCACCTGGAAGAAGTGACTGATTGTCCAAAGATGAAGGTCTCAGGACTGTCAGCACATGTCAGGAGACCAGCTTCAAAAGCAACTCTGGCCCCACAAAGGGGCTAAAATGACTATGGCACAGTCAGAAGTTTTCCTTTGAATAGCTCGGATCCTGAGGTTGGTATCAAGCCTTCTCCTCTCAGGCAATTCAGCACAAAGGTTGCTTTTCAGCTTTACCACACCCCAGTTCAGTATTTGCTGTACTTCCTTTTACCCAAGTCTCACCCTTCAGCAGTACTCCAGGCTGACATTATTAAGGTTGAACACCACAACACTGTGTTAAGTGGAAGATAAAACTCATCCTGGTTTTACTGGGGCAAGGTGTTGAGTGTTACTTCCAGGATGATGATGCCAGGTTTGCAGAGACACTGCTCTTTAAAAAAAAAATCTCCTTGGACAATCTTCTCATACCTTATTATTGCTGTTCTTCCCTCACACAGCTGCACACTACCCCTGGTTATGTCAGTGAACAGTCAGATCCTTCTGAGACCACAGCAAAAATTAGTACAGTGGATGCTGGAGGGCAATGGTTGCTAACAGGCAAATGGTTTTGAAGCTAAATAACTTAAGTGTGTCTGTTCTGTGCCATCCTTTAAGTCCAGGTCTACATGTACCTAAGAGTGAAAGCACCATGTCTGAAAGAGACAGGCCAAGATCAAGAGAGATGGAACTTACACCAACTTTCTCATCTATGAGATGTCTAGCGAGTTCGATTTGCTGGGGAACTCCTCGGATTGTGAATATTCGTACACCAGGGTCTGTGTTTGGAGGTGGGTTCCTCTGGAGCTCCACATGGGCTCCTGACTGCTGGTTTATGCTCTTGATGTTCTCACCACCTGAAGGAAAGAAACCCAAGACATAAAGGAGGGCTATTCAGCATCTATTTCCATAAAAAGAGCATTAAAGCCAGGTTCTGGTAATGGAATAGTTTCCACTACCTGCTGTGTGGCTGGAGGGAGGTGGGCTGGGCATGGCAGGAGTATAAGAGGCCAAAGTAACTGAGCTCATGTTGCTCCTTTCAACTGCCTCATAAACATGACCTGAAACTGTGAGCTTTCTGGAGTCAGGGATGATGCTGTTTTAAGAATACACACAGTCTCCCTGTGTGCATATTGCCAGGGTCCCCAAAAACACAGCATGGCCGAGATACACTTTGACACAACAGATTCAAAACCTGTGCTGACTGACTCCAGGTGGGTTTGACCAGCTGCTCACAATCATCAACAAGAAAGTCCCCTGCAACTGAAATACACTTTTTCTTTTTTTTCCATAATGGCTTTTTCCCCCTCATCCCTACACATTTCATTCCACTAAGGCAAAAAGCCACCAGCCACATACCTTGTAGCTTAAAAACCAAGCTGAAGGCTCCTCACCATCATCTGCTGTTCCACAGCTTATTCCCTTACAGAAACCTATTCCCACACAGTGCTGCAGCTCTCCACACAACCAGCACGGAATTCCTGGCAGTCCTCTGGAATTTCAGTTAGTTGTTCATGCAGTGAAGAACATATCTGGCTAGATTGGCATCTGGATGCACTAGAGCCCAGGAGTGCTTCGAGCAGGATGCAGCAGGGCCAGCCAAAGTAGATCTGATTTCCTGAAGACCTGCTAGGTCCTGGTCTCTTAATGAAATTTGCTTAACAAAAGCCTCAGCCAAGGTTACAATGGTTCAATTCTTCTTTTGGAAGCTCACACAACTTACAGACCAGCTCCACTCAACTGGAGAAATTAAAGAGTGCAGGGGAGGAAGGGAGTTTTACAGCTTTTAAATGGCAAACCAAAAATCACCAGCCAAAAGGCCATTCAGAAAGCAGAGAGGAGAGCAAGGGAAACTAACTGGGGGTTTTGTTTGGTTTTAATTAAAAAGGGTGTCTAAATAATCTCCTCAATTTAACTTGCATTTCCATCTCTATACATCCAGCACAACTTCAAAACAAACTGTGGATGTTGCAGACACTTGTTCATTTCATTGTAATGGACTCGTGACCTTTTTAACATTTTAAAGCCTTCATGGGGAAGGGAGGAGGAAAAGTTGCCAAAGGGCAATTAACTCTTTCTAAATGAATTTTTGAAGATGCATTTAACAAAAGATAATCGTGTCACATCCCTGGGCAGACAACAGGGATTGTACTGTGCAGCCAAAAGCCAAGCCACTTATTTTCAGTCAAGCATGGGAAAGCAGTAACATCCAAGTTTCAAAACCAAGTAGCTTTTTTTTTTTAATGTAATGGTTTTGTCTGACACAGACTTGTCTGAAACTCCATTTTTTAAATATTGAGGTGATATCTGAATTAACAGCCACTTCATCAACTTAACAAAAAACTAGGACCCTTTCAGCCAACACACTTTGTATCATGAAGGAGTGGGAAAACTTCTTTCCTGGGTGGACAGAGGCATAACTATAGGTTGCTACTTGCACAGCAGACCAGTTTCTCTTTCCAAAAGAAGATTAAAAATCTGAAGCAGTCTCATCAAATTAAAAACTGGGAGAATACAGATTTCAAATAATTTCTCCATTTAGCATTCAGCACTAAATTGGCAGTTGTTGTGGCTGTTTCCACACCAGCTCCCTTCCTAGACTGTATTTCTTGCAGGATCAAGTTAGTTGGCTCTTCAGGTTTGGTCAGAGGCTGCAAGCTCCTACTCTGTCCCAGAACTTGCTGCCCTTCTCTTCCTTACTTTCCAATCTGGTACCAGCTAGAGTGCTCCCTCCCATCCAAGCTATCCCAATTCCACCTCCAGAGCATGCACTTCCAACACGATGCTGCACGGTGCAGGAAGGAGTTCATCTCCCCCATCAAGAGGTGACCTGCTCGGCACATGGTGTCTGTCTATAGAGGCATTCAGCAGCCTGCTCCATTCTTCTACCTGATGGGGGGCAGAAGTGATCCAAGAGTGGCCCCCCAGCTGGACGTGAAATCGTAAAGCAATTAATCAAACCTGCTAAAAGGCAGAGCTGACAAGAGCCAGGCCGGCCACGTTATCTGTCAATATTGCTGTGTTTATCATGGAAATCCAGCGGGGGCCCCAGAGAGGCTGCGGGTTTGTTTCCAAGCACCAGCAAACAGAGAAAGCCCTTGACATGTGTATGGTGCTCGTCTCCACCCTTCCTCCAGGCTTTCAGAAAAGAAAAGCTGCACCTACCCACCCTCTAGAGGAAAAAGCTACACACAGGATTTGCAGGGAACCCAGCTCTTCTTATCAGCTCATAAAGGGTCAGGCTCCCAAGCTGAGAAGTGATGCCCACAAGAAAGAAGTTCTAGATCTTCTATCAGACTCACTGCAGATATTGAGCTGAGAAACTTCCTCATCTCCTTTTCCCCCCCCTTCTGGAGTGGTGACACAAAGCAGAGCAGCAGTTACCTGGCCACATTGTATACACTACACCCAGGGGGCCTAGATACCCATGGCTTGGGTGCTAACTTCAGAAGTGAAGCTCTGTGTGCCCAGAGGACTCACCCAGATGTTACAGAGGCCAACAGCCAAGTCCTGTATCTCACAGGAGAAGGCAAAAAAAACAAACCCAAAAGCACTGAAAACAGCTCAGAAACTGAAATGGGGGAGCAAAGGTTTTACAATCTGTCACTGTTAAAGAAACCCCACAAATCTCCTCTCATCCCTAGATGGTCCCATGGGCAGTGGGAGAAGAAAAGAATCAGGTGTCTTGCATCCCCACACGGAGAGTGCAGCAGAACATCCGTGCTGGACCAGGCCCCAAAAGGCAACACTCCAGCCATCACTCACTTGACAAAAATGAAGGCTGCTATAGACTAAGAGCACAGGCACGGTAAGAGCACCGATTACAAGGTGGTATTACAAAGCTACAAGCACTCAAATCACCATACAACTAGCAATTAGTCACTCCAGAAAGCTTCTGATCTGGCTGGGTAAGAATCCTTATTTTGCTGTTGTGGAAACAAAGGTAAAAAGCTCCCCTTCACCCCCACAGTGAGCCTGTGCCAGGCCCTGCACTTGAATCCTAGGACATCCAACTACACTACCTGCATTTATCTTTTCAGCACACACAGCTCTGCAGTCACAAATGCTCCACTTCAGTGCTCTGCTGAACAACAAGTGACCTTTTCTGATCCTTTATTAGGTATGACTAATGGATACAGCAAGAAACTTGCATTATAATTTGATTTTTCCATACATACAACTTTCACTTGTGGGCTTAAAATCTCCTTTGCTTGATTTTTTTTTTCCCCCCCAACTGGACTTTTCAAAGAGGTCAAGCACAATTTCTCTGCAATTTCTGCACAAGGGGAGAGCAGGTGTTTTTTCATATTGAAAAAAGTTGTCAGGTTTGTGAACAGGTTTACAGGGAAGGAGAGCATCTAAAACTGACTGCAGGCACACTGCTGACCTGCCTGTGTCTGTACGTGTGACCCTTGACATCCAATAAGGCAGGAATTCAGGGTGCTATGGGGGGCAGACACATGGAAGGGAACAAGTGAGGCACAGCAGGGTTATGCAGCAGGGGAAAGAAGCCAGGACTCGTTGCACTGGAAGCACTGGAAGCTCATTCCTGCCTGACAGGACAGCAGGAAACTGAATGCCAGTGAAACAGGGCACAGTACCCTCAAGACCCTGCCTCCTTTACTGCTGCAGCTAATCTGTTCCTCTTCTATTCACCTCATCTCTGCTGAGGCTAAAAGCCAACTGTGATTACTTAAATACTAGTTAAGGTATATGTCACTCTTTCTGAAATAGGTAGATGGAAAAATTAAATACGACTCCTTTGGTACGTCAGGGTATTAACTGCAAAGCACTGCACCAATTCAGAGTGAGAGAGCTCTTCTATTCCTGGCTCTAAGTACTGCCATTACCTGCTGTGTAGCTTATGCTCCATGACAAACCGAGACTGCTGCTGGTGCTCTGGTTTCATAACTGTCTTGGGGTTGTACTGGTCATTGAGAGGTGAGCCAGGTGACTTCCCTGTCCATCTCCTTGGCAGATTCAATGGCTCAGGCAGCCCAGGGGCCTCCATGGCAGTGGATATACTCCTCTGAGCAAGACAAGGTGCACCAGCCTGCTCTGTGACAGGCTCAGACACAAGCTCAGACACAGGCAAATCCTGCTACTTTCCTTTATTCAGACACTTCATGTACATGGCTGGAAGCAGCTACTGTTACTATCACATTCAGAGACCTTCCATTTTATCACATGGCACTCGCAGAAATCCAACATGACGAAAAGACTGTTCCGCTTGTCCCTGATAAACTGTCCTTTAAATGAGTTCTCTATAAAAAGAATCTACACATGAACCTGCCTTTTCTCAGCCAGCTGCTTGTCACAGCAAGCTTACTTGACAGCTCTGCATTGAAGAGCCTCTCTTACATATTGTGAACAAGGGCCTGGAGAGTACAATTATGAGGGAGAGCACCACAAAGAAACAACCACACACACTTACAGCTTATTCCTATGCTGCATCCACCAGCCACTAAATACCTGCAAATACAGAAAACTCCAAAGCCTCACTGTCAGGCAGCAGGAACGTGACCATCCCAAGAGAGAAAGGTTGCAAGCTCCAGTATTTAGTGCCACCAGACCCACCTTTGCCTATAACAAGCCCACACTTGTCAGCTGGCACCGTGTAGGTTATCTCCTGCATGCCCCCAGGTGTTCCGACACTCCAGTCCCCACGGCCACGACCTCTTCCTCGGGCAACAGCCAAATTTCCAAAGCCATCTCGTTCCTTGGAAGGCAAAAAAACCAAATATCTGTGTCAGTGATTTTTTTTTGCTGGCCCCAAGGCATGTTAAAAATAAAATAAAGCATGGTAGGTTAAACTGCATTGTAATCAATGGCACTGATTTAAGGTATTCTTGGTCTTCAGTTTTACATTCAAGATTTTGAAGCACTTTAAAGAAATGCCAAGTAACTTTGCCTTCCTGACTCAGGAAGATATTTATAGTTTTTAAATGCATTGCCTTTACATCTGCTGAAATAAACCCATAAACAAGCATCAACTACTAAAGGACTTAAAGTTTGTGATGAGGACTTTCCTTAGAGCACCTGACAGATCTTGGCCCTAACACACACAGAAGTTGCTTCCAAACCCTTTCAAGTGTCATTCTTTAAAGAACTGCTGGAATTACTCAGCTGAAATGCACATCTTCCCTAAACTTCCAAAGGAAGCTTTTAAGTTCAAAGACACTTAAAGGACAAAACTATTTTGGCAATTTCTCCAAAAGCACAGGCCATGGGCAGCCAGAGGCTATCATGAGAGACCTCAACATTGAAGAGGATTATTACAAAAATTATGAAATCAAGAATTCAAACCAGACCTGAGGGCAAGAAGAGATATCAAGACCCACCCTTGAGGGAGAAATTATGCTCAGGTATCAGGTCTAGAATGACCCAACACCTTTACTTCTCCTAACACAACCTCCTTCATGAGTCTGCCCTACTCCTGGACCCATCTTTGTACTTCTTGCTCTTGGGCAATGCAATGTGTTGGTTCTTAAAGAGTGCAGTGAATGCATATGTGAGCATTCCTTGCCTTTCCCTGCATCCCACAGCCACCAGACCAGAGGACTGGAGTCTGAAGAGGCATCACTGAGTGCTGATAATGCTCTGCTACCTGAATCTTCCTCAGCCCTACGGAGCAGAGCCTCCAGGCACCTTCTCATGGCACTGCTGGACTCTGTTCCACCAGGTCACCACTTTCAAATAACAAGAACAACTAAGCATGGGGGCAAACGTGGAGCTACAATGAGGCCTCATAACACTGCCTGAGAACAGCAGCTCTTCCCATACCTCAGTCAGCTCACATCACATTTCAAAAACTCTGCAAAACCAAAAAACAAACCCAGCAGGTTCTGCTGTGGGCAGCAGATGGAAAATTTAACACTGCTGTTCTTCAGAGGGCAGCACCCATCCATATTCCCATTAAGCACTTTCCTCCCAAAAAGCCTCCAGAACCCACCTGTGCTGTGAGAATGAGCTCACTGATGATGTGTGCTGCATGTTGACACCGATCGGGAAGCCCCATGACCTGTGCGACTCTCTCGGAACTAATCCCATCATCTGTGGAGAGAGGTGGCAGAGGCTAAATTAAAAGGAGAAAGCATCCACCCGCCAGCAAAAGCTTCCTTCTAGCAGCATTTTCACAAAAGCTACCTCTTCCCTCCATCTTCAGCCCCTCTTCCACAGACTGAAAGAAGACAAAACCCAAACCACGTTGCAGAAGGAATAACATTCAAAAGGTAACACTGTCAAATGTCAAAAAGCTATGATAGAGACTGATATAATTTTTAAAGAGGACAAAGGCAGCTTTGATAGGTGATCAGACAGCCAAGGACCCAGAGAAAGTTACTTAGAATTAATCAACTCCTGATCCCCAAAGGCTTTAATGTCCTGAAGGAGAATTCTTTAACAGGAAATGGATTTTTTGTTACTGTTATTTCTTATCTGTATCATTACCATTCAAGACATGACTGTTGTGACATCTAATGTTTGCAAATGAGATGTACATTATCTTACTCTCTGAGAAACAGGAAGTACACGAGAAAGCAGAACATCATATTTAAATGGAGTTCAGAAAGAGACACAATGCACCTTTACATTAGGAAAGCCAAGCTGCTGTAACCTCAGATCAGATTCACTCCAGCAATCCCAAACTGGAACACTGGTCAGAAAGTAGCAGCTCTCCATCCTCACACAAACCTGGTTTAAATTGAATCCTAACTCCAGCATCATTCTGAATCTTTTTGATCATTTCTCCATTTCTTCCTATCACAATTCCAACAGCAAACCTGGGCACAGAGACCTGATGGGAAAGGCAAAGCAGTATGAAAACTCAGAACTAGACTGAATTACTCTGATTTTACAAGGAGATGCTCTTAACTATGAGGACAGGCCACGTTAAGTAGCTCCAGGCTACAGAACCATATCCCTTAAGAAAAACAAACATGTGGCCACAAATTCCTTCCCCCTAAATGAACTCTGCACTACAAGAATGCAGCACAATTAGACAGGTGCCATCTGGGAGTCCACGACTCCCAGTCTTCGCAGCCAGACTCGCTCTTCTGGCAACACAACACAATGCATTTAAAAATAAGCTTACAGGTTACATGTGCAATTTGATGACTTCCACCCACTACCCATCCCACAGGGAGGTTAGCAGAGTAGTCTTGAAGAAAACATACCTCTATGCTTCCTCCTCCCATTCTAGAACTGAAATCATTGCGTACGCCTCGGAAGTCTGCCTGATCTTTCTCTCGGATGATCTCCAGTACCATTTCCCTTGCTTGCTACATGGGGAAAGAAGTTACAGTTAGCTTCAAATTATTCTGCTTGCCAGTGTTAGGGCCTCCAGAGTGGCCAGTGGTCAGGCTGCAGGCAAAGAGATGTCCATCTCCTCAATGGATACAGCATTTCTGATTTAGAACGTCTTTTACCACAGTCAGGGGAGATCTGCTCTTGATGGCATCTTCCATGTCTGACAAAACCTGCCAAGTGTGCAAGGTGGCAGTTTCTTGTCTGCAATTGCTTCCTCCAGTCTTTCAAAGAGGCCCTTTTAAGCTGAAATATCTTTGATGTTCCTTTTGGTTTTAAAGGAAGGGAAGGCCCTTTCCTACTAGGCAGAACACATTAAGGCAGAAGCTGTGGTAGCAGAGCAGAGAGCATGTCCATTGAGAGCTAGAGAGCATTGACCACGAAGGCAGGTGGGCAGGAGTGAGCTTATTAAAACTCAGAAAAGTGAAGCCCAAGTCAGCAGCAAGACATTTCCTGAGACAAATGGATACTCTTCCTACCTACTTGCAGCCCTCAAAGCCATTCACCAACTTGCATGTAGCACAGCTAGTAAAAGTGTACTTTGGAAATGAACCAACAGTAGCCACCATCAAAAAGCAGCCTATGTGTCCAAACCAAAGCCTTTGTTTCTATTTATTACCAGCCAACCTTTTGACATTTGGGTTCTATTTCCAACAAATCTGACTCATATTTTTAGGTATTTTTCCATGCCCCCAGGGTATTTTTTACAGAAGAAAACTCAAGACATTTCAGAGATGCCAAGACAGAAATAAGGGCAACAGAGAGATTTCATAGGGATTTGAGAGAATGAAGAAACACTGGTGCAGCATCCAGAGAATCCCACCAAACTCAAGGATTCATTGAACTTCTGAAGAGCTTTCTAAGCATGCTCCATTTTTTAAAGTGCCTCAAAGGTCTTCCAGCCTACAGAGTCTCCACAATTGCTTGGCATGATTTATGACACGGAAGATGTGACAACAGCAAATCTTGCAAGGAAGAAGAAACCACCTGGGAAGTAGCAGCACTTAAAAAGTATGACCTGGTTAAAAGTAGCAAGACTGCCATTAAGTCCCTTTTTGCAAATCTGTATGTCCACAGTAAGTAAGAATCTTGAAAATAAAAAAGCACCCCACATTTAAACCTAAAAGCCCACTTGCAAAAAGAGGTTTGAAAAATAAAACCCAAACATACTATCCCTGAGCAACACCAACCATTGCAGCAATTTATGATTAGGGAGATCATATGAAAGAGAACCATTTTTATTAGAGACAGGAATGCTAAGCCAGATTTAAGTACTTAGCAAGGCATGAAAAGCACTTGCTGAGAAGTAGAACGTGCCACAGCTAAACTTTAATTCTTTAATTCAAGCATTCCCATCATGCTACAACCTTCCAGCCTCTGGCTGCTCACAGGTCTTGCTTTCAACCGCAGGTATGAACGTCTCTGTAAAAACCTGACACAAGGAGACTGAGGTACCAATATGAAGCAAACCCCTTGGTTTCAGGAGTTGTCATGGGATATTGTTTAATTACCTGCGTCAATTGGCTGTCTGAGATAATGAACCTTCCACAAAACTTTCTCCAATGTGAGGCTGAGTTAGTGACTAAGAACCTATTTGCTGAAGTAACACCCAGCTATGATTTTTGCTTCACAGACTGGAAAGCATTTCAAAGTTACTTTTCCCAAACCCTTCTCCTCAGCTCTTCTCCTACCCATGTCTAACATCTACGTGAAGCAAGAGCTCCTACATTATGCTGTAAACAAGGCAAGACTTGCTCGTCTGGCATTTTAACTTGCTCTACTCAAACTTCAACCTTACAGAACAAACAAAACCAGCAAGGATCATTACATTTACAGTTAGATTCAACTCCGTTAGAGGCTCAGAAACATGCTGAAGTTTAAACTTCTCCTCAGTTCTCTAGGCAACTGCTTACTGTCATTACATACCTGTACTTTAAATGCATCTCCAGTAATACGGAGAGGTTTATCTGCTCCAGTGGGCAATGGACCATCCTGGATCATGATCATTTTCACACCTGTTCGCTCCTGAAGAAAAAGCACAGAGCACTTTGCTAAGCAGAGCCCCTAAAACCAGGGACTATATTGTGGTAACTAAACATGACGCAGGTCAAATCAGCAGCTTTATGAGTGTTACTTTAGCTCTTCACAGGGAGTTACAGCACAAATCTGGCCATAGGCCTAGAGTCTAAAGGACTGTCCAAAAGTGTGCTCCTCCTGAGTTTCTCACATAGCTGAATCCCTTGCAAAAAAAGAGAACTCCTTTATCTCAACAACTGTTCTTCCAGCCCTTCCCAAAATCTGTATCTGCCTGCACATCACTATGGGATGACAGAGGCTTAATCAGGGCACTCAAAAAACTACATATTTGACCAAGGTCCTTTTCTGAAAACCCTCTATTCTTTAAAAAAAAACTTGTACCAGATGGAGGAACAAAGAATGTCTAGGAACACAGATTTATACATAACACAACACTTTTCATTAGGAAGGGGTGGGATGAGAAAAAAAAGGAAGACATGCCAGCTCCATCACGGACCAGCAACAAAAGAGAAGCAGAGCATTCCACAGCAACATGGCTGGCATTAAAAACCACTGCAGCAGTGGACTATATAGATAAGTCTTTTCTTGGCTACGAGGGTCCCCTCCTAAAACCTCACACACCAAATGTTATCTAAAGCACAAGAGCTTCTTTCACAGCTCTGGTAAACTTCACTACATGCGTGGCTGGGGCCAAACCGATTTCTTTTTTAACACAAGATTGGATTTGAGTCCAGCTCTCCAAAGGCAGAAGAGTAGTCCCTGCTGTAGAAGGTGAGAGCATTCAAGGCTCTCTCCATTCCAGCACACTCTTGTTGCTCTAGAGAAGCTGCAGTGGGGAAGAGAGCCCTAAAGTAAATGCATCTTGCGCACCTGCAACTGTTTTATTGTTTCACCTCCTTTGCCGATGACTAGACCCACTTTGGATGCCGGGATCAAAATCTCCTGAATCGTACTGTTGCCATCAACATCGTTGTGAAAACCAGGTCCGTTCCGACAGCGATCTACAATCTGCCCCAGTAGCCGTTTTGCTTGTCTTTGGAAAAGAATCGAGGGGAAACAACCATTAGACAACACTGTTCCACAGGACCAAGAGACCAGGGAACCAGCAGAATGGGAAGCGATCGGGGAGAGGAGAAGAAGTGGAAAGATGAAGGAAACCACAGTTAGCACAATGTTTGTTATTTTTTTTTTAAACTCTGATGTATATTTGCCCCTGTCATGATTACTCACAAGCAGCCTGATTTTTGAAAGGGGAAGAGAGAAGGAAGAGCAGCAGCATGCTCTGACCTCTTTGGGAGTTAAAGGTAACAGCTAAGCTATAGCATTGGGGGTACTTATTTTGAATGAAGATGCGCTATGTTCTAAAATTTTTAACATATATATACACACACACACACAATATTTGATAAAACTCAAGCTCTTTTCTCCTTCTGGTCAAGACAGAAAACACACACTGCCCTGACACTAACACAGCACATTGGTTAACCACTTTCTGATCAGCCACAGGCAACTGCCTTGTTCTTCTCTGCCTGCTCTTACCAGCAGCACCAGAACACTGTTCTAACACAGCCTCTGCCCCAAGCAGCAGGTGCTGAAGTTACACCACGAAGCAAGGCAAGGACACTGCAGCAGCAACCAGTGAAAGACTGCGTTCTTCTACTCCTGGTGAGAAGAGACAGACACAAAGAAGCATTTGGGAGATTAAAGATACCTTCTCTACAGTCTGTAGCACATCAGAGGTAGCTGACAAGGCTTCCCTTCATCTTGAAGACTCCCAGTCCAACACATCTCCTGCCCTTCTCCCATAACTTTTCTCAAAGTAGGCAGAAGAAGGGCACCGGTTCCCTAATCAGTCTAAAGCAGCATCTTCCCCTCTCTCCACTTCATACCAAGCTCCCTAGGAGGACTGTCTTCTCTCTGGAGACTTCCAGAAACACTACAAAGTCATCCCTCACAGACAGACATTCACCTAAAACAGCTCAGAGTGTGGTGATCTAAGGCTGCACACAAATCAGAGCTCTGCTTTCTCCTGACTTTCCTCACAAAAAAAGGCAAAAAGTGGAATTTCTGGGAGTCCACTTCAAATATCCTGGAAGAGTCTTACGCGGTTTCATTCATCTTCAATATTTTGCATAAAATTCTTCTAGTGACAATACAGAGACCATAACAGTTAACAGACAGTGTATTTCAGATGAGAAGGGTGTATCTGGAAATCAACCCTATTGTTTGCCACTGGATATAACTAATGGAAACAATCTTCACACAAAACCCTTCACAAAGAAGTCTGACAGCTTGAGTGGTTTCCTTACTTTCTTTTTCTACATGTAGCCTAAAAAAATAGCTTAAATAACCAACTTGACAAGAATTTTAGCACAAAAGTAAATAAAAATTTGCTTAATTCCATGTCCTCAACACCTCGTTCTGCTTCACAAATTGAGCATTTTCACTTACTTACATTTTATCTAAAGACAGCCTTGGACATGACTACATTCAACTGCTTATTTCAGAACCATGAAGTCTTAACTATACCTCTCCCCTTATTCTCCCCCAACTGCACCTCATCAGGCAGCCCAGCTTTTTAATATTTTGCTCTTGTTCTGAAACACCTTTTGCTAAAGGGGAAAAAGCACTTCAATAGCAGCACGAATACATTGCCTGCCCTATAACGTGAGCTTGCCAATTATATTTATTCTGGCTCACTGCTTGCAGTATTATGGTAGAATAAGGAGATTTAAGTACCCTTAGATCTCTTAGGAATGGAAGAATGATGAGTGTCTTCTCCTTAGAGAGACAGTCTTTGTGCCCATGTATTTTCACTATCAAATGCAACTCAAAGATTTCCAGATGGATTTTAAAAAACCCACCTACCCAAAGGCTGGGGAGAGAAAGAGCAGCTCCATATGTTAAGTGTGTTCCTGTAAGCCTGAGGATCCTGGATCCAGTTCCAGCAGGAGGTCCTCAACTGGTTTGTGAGAGTCTCAAACTCAGCTCCTGGGAAGGGGGAGGGAGGAAACACTGTCCCTAAAGTTTCTATAGATCTAAAGAGTAGAAATCCCTGCTGGCTGGCCACGTGTCTGTACCATGCAGGGATCAGAATTCAAGACTTTGGTTCAGTCCTTTGCTCCTGGTTGGCAGCAACGCAGAGGCAAGCACACCCGTGGGCCTCATGCTGCACTGCAACAACACCAACACCTCCAGATTATTCTGGAGTGGCACCAACAGGCTTTGGAGGCCTCATGCAGCCCTTCTTCAGCTGGAAGGATGGTCATCTCAATAGGAGCAGGGAAGCGAAGGGGAAAAGAGAAGTGCCCTTCAACAGCTTAGCTCAGTATCCTGGAAAGCTGCAGTTGGCAAACTGCATCCTAGGTGCCCTAAGAGCAACCTTGCCCTGCGGAGGGGAATTCCATGGAAATTTCTGCAGAGGGTTCAAACTGCAACTGGAAAAAAAAGCCTCTGAGGTGCACAGTTTAAAGCATCAGACCAAGAGGTTCTATGCTCCAGAGACCCTCAAGTTTCTCTAGGCCAGCATTTGCTGGTGTGGCTAACCAAGTAGCACCACTGACAGAGCACAGCATCAGGGAGAAGAGAAAGAAGGAGAAAGGAGAGAAATGAAATCAGAACTCACTCAATGCTCTCTGGTGTCCCAGTGAGTACACAGGGCCTCTCGGGCATCCCACCACTGTCTACAATGGAAAAAAGAAGCAAACTTTCAATACATGGCATTTCAGAAAAATGGCATATTTTTCAGTAACTATCAGGCACTAATGGAAGCCCAGCCCCCCAACAACGTTGATTAATTCAAAGACACTCAGGGTCAACATATTTTAAATTATTTTCTGGATGTCTGCATTCCTTTAAAGCCTTCCCCACCAATTAAAGGGATGGGTAAGAACTCTGGTTACATCCATCAAGTTTCCTGCACTGCAGTGCAGTCTCTCCCAAAGCAAACAACTACTAGCACAGAAAAAATGGATGGTTCCACTTTTTTTTTTTAATGCAAGTTGTAAGAAGAGCTGCTTGTACTCTCCTGAAATGCCTTCTGCCAGGAGCTGGGAGCTGACCAGACTAACCAGAGACAACCTGCAGAGGTGAGTGAAGTGGTATTAAAAGGAGAAAACTCAACAGCTGCAATTTCAGGGCTAGGTACAACGTGGCTTGTCCACTTGCACTGTGCCCATCTGTTGGTTAAACACAGCTCCTTAGTTGTTTCACTCCCCAAACCACCAGACAAACCTGCTTTCTATGCTAGTCAGGAGGTCAGTCCCCCAGCAGCTCCCCCATGCATGTTAGTGTTAGTTAACAACGCTGGTAACACCCCACAAGCACAGCAAGGTCCCTCATCTAATGGACACAAGATCCTTCCACATTAAAAGCTGTCCACCAAGAGGTTCTTACCTGGAGCAATTTGAATTTTGCAGCCAGACTCTGCCTGAATCCGTGAGATCTGCTCTCCTCCCCTGCCGATTACTGAAATGAGTTCAACAAGCATCAGAACACACCATTTTCCCAAGTAACTCCAGAGAACCTTCCCCCTTTTACTGGGCTGCAGCTATCTATAAAGGAACAGTTTGACTCCAGGATTGCAGAAGAGGCATCCACAGCATGATCAAATTTAACATAGCAGAAAAAAGCCATTAAAATACTGCTGAAAATTATTCTCTTTGCTTGGAAAAATAAAACAAAGATGTCTGTCTTGCACTGGAATGGAAACACATTGTATGCAAGAAATAAGGCACCAGTTTGAGTGCTGCTAGAAAAGTCATGTCAGTAGATCTTTCTCAGCCAGAATCAATAAACCAGTTACTTGGGGTACTAAAAAAGGGAAAGATTTATTTATTTCAAATACATATTTTACTGCCTCTTTTCAACAGACATGCTATCTGGCTGGTCTGCACTCAGATCAAACTGCTACATAATGTAACTGAAAACAAACACTCATCTCCTTTAACTCTTGGAGTCGGCACATCACTGTTCCATGAGACATGCTGAGAGCCTACTTGCCAACCACCATTCACATCCCTCCCAGACTGCAAAACCAGCAAAACTGCCAAGTCAGATAGGTATGCCTGGCACACAGAAGTGCCTCTCAGCTGGGCATTTACCACCCTCCTGCAACCATGTGCCCCTGAACCAGGATTAGATTTAATAAAGAGATGCTGCACCAAAAAAGCTTACGAGCTCCCCTCTCCCAGAGCCACAGCATCCCTCCAACATTCCCCCACATGTGCTACAAGGACTGATACATTAAAAGATCCAGCAGGAGTGCGTTTCCCTTGCAGTAATTTGAGTTACAGTTTTACAGTTGTTTTAGACTCAGGACAGAACTTCATGTGCTAAGGGGTAATTATTGTGGCCTGTTATTTTCCTTTTTGCTCTCCATATATCAAATTGGAAGAGATAAACAGAGATCTAGCACACTGGCTGTGTTCCCCTGCAGCAAATGGACCAAAGATTTACAATTCTGTTTAACCTGCCTTGAGTTGATTCATTCTAACATTTAAATGTTGTTTTTCTCCCTCAACTCAGTTTTGCACACTCAAAGGCACCAAGATGTTTCAGTTACAGCAAATAAATTCACTTTTTCCCTGGGAATTTGAAAGAGAGAATCACAAACTCTCAGGAACTGGTACCACAAGTCTTGTCTTGTTCTTATTACTGAGCCACCAAGCTTCTTCATGCAGTTTACAAACACAGATTATCTGGTCTCCATTAGTCAAGGCTTATCCAAGGCTAGTAAGTATAAAAACTTGTGAGCACGTCAGAATAAACAGAATTCCTGCACAGAAAACACAAGAAACATATCAAAAGCATCCAAGGTACTTACTAAATCCAACCATTTTATCAGGCACTTTGAACTCTTCTGTTATTACAGCCCTAAAAAAAGAAAAAAAGAAGAAACAAACAATATTCATGATCAAGAACAATTATTAGGAAGACAACTATGCCATGGAAACCAGGCAGAGCATAAGGCTTTTACACACACATGTAAACAACACATCACAGTCATGATTTGTTTTGGAAGGGACCTCTTGTGGTCACCTGATTTCTCCTATGCTGGACACTTTTCCAGTTTACTCTCTGGTACCTTCAATGCAGCTGACAGAAGACCCTCTTTTTGTCATTCTTGCCCCAGTCAGATTTAACAAAACCAGCAAAGCTTCTTGAATATTTAGCCTAGACCTTCCAAGCTGCAGTCTCTGCCCACTTTTGGACATGCTCTTGCCAAGAGACACTAACCAAAGCCAGTCCTGATATGAATGCCCCTTCTGATATTCACAGGGCTGGATTGGTGTTGTTTTGGGGTTTTTTTTGCCTGCCTTATCATTCTTTTCCTTGGAATTTATAAAAGCTGCCTTCAATTATCCTTTGAAGTCTTATTACCTCAAGACTCCCATATCTATTGCTCTTTGGACTTTTTCAGAGTGCCTCTGCCTCAAAACATACCACCCAAAGCAATTTCCTAGGACCTGACCATAGTCAAGGAGAAAGGAATGACCTTGGATGTTTTTTGTTTAGCCATTTCTACCTCATTGAAAACACAACACAATGAATACAGAATATGCAAAGTCTATGTATTTAGACAGGCATTCTATATAATTTCTTCAGTAATCTGAAAAGCAATGGAACACATGCATAATAAGTTCAATGCAGGTTTTGTGGTGAGATGTATTAAAATCCACCCATTTTTAGCTTTAGATCAGTTAGGGAAGGTATAAAATGCATATTTTCACCAGCTAACCTGCAGATCATACTCTCCCCTGTCCTGAGGCTCACCAGCTAAGATGCAAAGCCAAACTGTGCCATCCATATCCTCAACAGAACAGGGAGGTTCAGAATCACCATTGTTTTATTCTGGAATAAACTCAGCCTGTTGTCAAAATGTCCTATCCTGCATAATTTATTTCTCAAGCACCCTGTGTTGGAAGAAGCTGCAGGAAGGTTGCAGCTGGACAAAGAAGCTATCCTAGCAGAAAACCAACCACCAAACCCAGAAAGAAGCCAATTCAGGCTTCTCAATTCCCTACCCTGAATGTCCCTCCTGGCAGAAGAGAGGTGCCAGGGAGCAGAGCAGCCCACCCTGCTCCATGCTGCCCTACCTGGTCACTAGCTTTAACCTGACATGAGGAACTGAATGTTCTACAGTCTTCACATTATTACTTGTCCTTTATGCCTTCAACAAGCAGCTGGTTATGATGGAAATGCACTTCTATATTAGCCTAAAGGTTAATCCAGCTTAAGAAATACTCTTCCTTTCCCCATCAAGCAGGACCACTAAAACTCCTCAAGAGCAAGATTTAAGAAAAACTGAGAATTTTACTTTTGTATTAGACATTAAGGCATGCTGCACAAAAACTCCTAGTTGCTTCAGTCTCCCAAAATCACCTTTGCAAAGGAGTCATCTCAAGTCTTATTACACCAACAAAATAGAAATTTTTTAAAGGTAACAAAAAAAATATTAAAAATCAACCTGCCCATTGAATACTTCTGAGTTCTGTCAAAATCCCTTTTTTTTTTTTACTTATTTCTTTCATCTCTGCCCAGAGCAGGGGAAGGGAGAGAATTTATTCTGCTCAGCTCTGCAGATACTCAGGAACCAATTCCAAGTTTCACATCAACTCTTCTTTCCTCATCAAAACAAACAGCCTTAAAGAGTTAGCAGAAATCCCAGCCTAGAGAAAACCTAAGCTGACAGTTTCTCCACATTCTCAACCTCTGGCTTCCTAACACTACTACAGATGGTGGATCAATAAACAATTAGAATTGATCAATAAATAATAAAACATAACCCACTGCTTACCTTTGATGTACCAGGGCCCCTAACTGGTTACCTACTGTGGCAAAGAGAGAAAAAAGGGAAAAAAATCAAAGCATTAGCACGGATAAACTAACTTCATCCCTATAGAAAAAGAGTTCTTACCATTTCATCAAAAGAGAAAGAAAAGCAAAACAGTAATTTAGGTTCAGTGGCTGAAATGAATGCATTATGTGGCACAAAACAGGAGGGGATTTCTTGATCAACACACACCATAACCCAGTGTCCAGCTGAACACAGGATAGGGAATTGATCTGTGTCTCCCCATGCTGAGAGTCCTAGGAGAAAATCCAGCCTGCCCAAATCCAAATCCCTGCAACTAACCTCCCCACCTTCCCAAATTAAGCCCAAAGTAGTGAAAAAAAATGTTTAAAAGGGAAAAAAAATTCAGGGAGGGAGAAGAAACATTTCAAGCAGACTGGCATGTATTAAAAAGCAAAAATAAAGGCTGAGCAGACTCAGAGGTTTAGTCCAGGCAAAAAGCATTGAAGACAACTGACACGTACTTCTCTCTGTGTCTCTTATCTGTGCTCCATGGAGCCCACTGACACGGAGACCTGTTAAAGGAATAGGTCTGTTAAGTCACCTCGTGGCACCCAAACAGTATTTCAAAAAATAAAAAAGCCACATTTTACTGAATACACACATTCCAGGCATATCTGTGATGGTAGCTGGTGGTCCATTTATGACTAGCAGTTCTGTCTCCAGCTGACAACTCTCAAACTGATTTCTCCCCCCCCAACCCCAACAGATTAGATCTTTCTTCCAAATGTTAATGGGGGAAAATATCATTAGACCAGCTCATGCAAAGTGGGAACACATGCCCTGTTGGGCTTCCTACTGGACTTTGCCTGCAGCAAACCAGCTAAAAAACCAGACCATTTGGTCCTAAGAACTAGTTGAAAGATTATACTGCATGCCTGGAGGGCACAAGTAGTGAAACAAATGAAACTGGCCGACATGTGAGCTCTGAAAATGAAGATGCTGTTACAAACTACCTTGCAGCAACCTGCACATTCTGTGACCTGAAATAAATTGGCAATCAGCTGGCAGGGTTAGGAAGCGGATGCATCCCACACCCTCTAAATCCGGTAGAAAAATGCATAAAGTTTGTGGCCAAACATTTGACTCAAATAAAAAAGACAAAGGGAGTCAATACTGTATTTCTGCTGCATGTCGATACCTTCATAATAGTTCAGGACCAAAATATTGACAGCCTGTGGATTACTCTCCTCAGCTCAGTGATAAGACAACTGCTGTGTTATTGACTCCATTAGATTTGCCTTTACATATTCTCACCCAGAATATAAAAAGCTCTAATTTGGTAACTATCAATACCACAGCTGAAAAAGGTGGGTGATGTAACAGGGAATATTTGCTCTAGCTGATAAGCTACTACTGCAGACCTGAGCAAATACAACCAAATTCAGATTCTTGCCATTTTGCCCCAAACTGTGCTCCAACTAATTTTCCTGTGTGCAGCAGGTCTGCTGGCTACTGCTCCAGTGTGGGATTGCCCTTGCTATGGACCACAAAAACACAGAATGGCTTGGGTTGGAAGGGACCTTAAAGATCATCTAGTTCCAACCCCCCTGCATGGGCAGGGACACCTCCCACCAGCCCAGGTTGCTCCAAGCCCCATCCAACCTGCCCTTGAACACTTCCAGGGATGGGGCAGCCACAGTTTTCCTGGGAAATCTGTTCCACTGTCTCATCACCCATATAGTGAAGAATTATGTTTGCATGTGTTCTGTTTAATAAACACTACACATTCCTTATTGCTTTAAACACTGAAAATGCAAGAGTTAGACTCGCTTCTTCCCTTGACACCTGATAGATAGTTACAGAATAAGGGAATAGCCTGGGAGATGCCCCCAGAGATGCTCCTACCACACCACTCACTCAGTGGACCAGGCCACCCCTTATCCCAAGATGCCAGAACAAGTGGTGTTAACACCAGGAGGCTGCATTTAAACACCCACTTTGCATTTCAATTCACCACAGCAGCCCTTGCCCACAAATTATGAGACAGATCCACATCCTATAATCAGCTCCTGAGGTTCATGCAAGGAACTGCAGAGCCCTCACTTCGTAATGCAATCCTGAACTTGAAGAAGACAACTTCTTTGGGGAAACCTGTATGAGCACGAGATGTGACATCAGTTAGGGGATAATGCTTTAGGTCTACCTAAGAGAATGTCTCTGACCCATTCCAAGTACTGCACAAACACAGGAAGTCATCCCTATCCCAGGCAGATACCACCTCTACAGTATATTTATTGTATAAATCAGTCTAAAAAAATTAAGCTACAGCAACTTAGGAGTGAGATCATGCCTTTCCCATCTCACAGCTTCTACAGAGCTGAGCTAGAGGGCAGATTATGAAAGTCGGGAGCCATTTACTTGAAGTCAGTTATGATTTCTGTCTGTTTTGGGGAGCAAAAAGAAACCACGTGGCTCCCATTCCAGCAACCTCAGGTCTGTTCCTTCAACAAGGAACATTTCAACATTTTGCTCTCAAAGATGGGGACTAACAGGCAGGGCTGAGGCAGCCCATGCTTGTTGCAGCACTGAAAGCTGATATTCTGTTCCACCACCACCTTCTTCATGCCAGGGAAGGGGCTGAAATCTGATAAGCCATGGACACATTTCCCCCTTTTACATCTATTGAGTACAATTTAACTGCAACTGCAGTCATTTCACTGCAAATAAGGAAAAATACTGAATAAAGTCAGCACAATTTCCTGCTAATGGCACCTGCTGGTTGATAACTCTTCACTCTGCTTTAGGCTTCACCTTAACTGAATTCTGCCTAACAGATACTCAAAACAAATGTGGATTATTTTTTTTCCACCCCATAAAACAGAGCAGTGCCTCCCACTAAATTAATGTGCATGATGGAAATATCCAATCTCGTCAAGAATATCTTCATGGCTAGAATAAAATCAGAGTGACACATCTCCTGGAGAGCAGTGGAACAGGGTTTCATTTCATACCTCTGAACCCAAATGGGATCATCATAAATTTTAGAAAGCAACAATGAAGACATTAGTTACACTAATTTTGCTAGGTTTTTCTTTAATTACATGCTCAAAACCTCACAATTTTCATCTCTGCTTTCACTGCAAATCTTTATAGGCTTTTTTCCCCATCCCTTAAGTTGCCTTATTTAAAAAGCAGTGATCTGTAAAGCTGCAATTTTTAAGAATGTTGGCACTTTGTGTACGACACAAACTTTTGCTGAGCGATCTGGATTTTCACCCTGGTCCTAACGCTGTTCCAGGCATGTCAGGGAGCTTCCCTACCAACTTCCAGCAGCAGTAACACAGAGGTAAGATTTTCTTCTGCCCATCACTCTTTGCATGTTGGAGCACAAGAATGAAGTACAAGAGGACCATGTTGTGCTTGAGCCCCTTGGCTCTACTACAGACCAGTTTTTTACACCAAGATGGTTCATCTTCCTATCTTGATGCACCACAGAAGCTCGAGAAGGGTTGAGAGAGGGAGGTGTGAATCTTCTCCAAGGTCTCTCATCTTTGTTTCTCCAGGCCCAAAGGATGCCCCATCCTTCAACTGCAACACTGCTGCTTAACCCTACATGTATCACTGGAAACATCTTCAAAGCATCCAAACCAGAGCAAACAAAGATCAGTCTCCAGCAGACTAGACTTCTGCTTCCTTTGAACAAAAGGAGGCTGCACCTTTAAAGATTATTTATCATTAAATAAACTTATTACATTGTGCTGGTAATTAGAGTGACCCACGAATTAGAATGGAGGCCAGGAGCAGCCACTGGGCATTAACAGGAGGGCTGGGATCTACCCTCAGCAGCAAGCCACAAGGAGGATGCCACCAGGTCTCCCTGCAGCTCAGATCTAACCCTACCTCAGGTGCTCACCTTTGCTGAGAAACACTAACTGTGACAAGTGGCCATATAAATGCTGACTATGACTTACTGTGAGCAGTATAAATAAACCTGATCTCCCTGCACTGTAGCTATTTGCAGGATTACTTTCAAGTTGTTTCCAGAAAGGGGAAATAAAGAAGCCAGGGAATAAGAGAAAGAATCAATCTCAAGCTCCATCAAATACCAACAGGCCAGGTCACCAGGGCCAGACCTAGCAGCTCTTTGTTTCAGATGAAGGTTATGGTAAGGGAAGTGCAAAAGGCACTCATGCATTCTGGTTCCAAATATTATGACAAATCTATTTTTCCTAGAAATGCTCTAAAAGCAGCTGAATTTGTTTTGACCAGCACACTGTCAGCCTGCTCCTAAGCTGACATCAATCAGCCACACCAGCAGCTGTTTACAGAAATGGACAGGCAGAATTATATTTTCCTCAGAGACACATGGTTTTCTTGTCACCTTAAATACTTCCTCTGAACCCAATTTCTTCAGGAGTATTAGGAACACAAGTAATTTTCTATCAGCTACACAGAGGTAAGGAAGCAGTGAAAACTGCATCCAGCTGTGAACACACAGTATACAGAAGTAAACAATCAACAGATTTACCACCAGATTTGTTTCCAAGCTACCCAGAGCAGCAGAATGTAGACAAACCCTCACACTATAAAGTTTCTAGCACACACTTAACAATATAAATAACCACGTATTGACAATGTTTCCAAACTGTGGTTCACAGACAAGCAGAAAATGGAGAAAGGTGTGGGCATGCAACCCCAACATCCCCTGTTCACAGTTAACAGAGGACTAAGGTCCAAGTCCTTTCCTAATTTCAGTGTATTACTAAAAGCAACTGCCATCTTTCAGATGCCTAAAGGTAAAGCTGCATGAAAGACTTTTAATGCCATGGCACCAAAACTGACTAAGGTGAGGAACATACCACAAAGAAATACAGAGCAAGAAGTATCTGCTGCTTCAGGAGCTCCTTTGTCAGGCTACATCCTGGGAATGCACAGGAGGGTTATGCTGTGAGGTAGGGACCTCATCACACAATTGCACTCCAGTGTAGGATTTACTAATGCCATCAGAAACACAACACAAGATGACCAAAGCTGAAAGAAGCAATTGCTCCTTGCTTCTATGTGAAATTCCATCCTATTAAAATATCACTTCCATCATTTCTCTTCTCCCCCAAGATCTCACAGATCAGATTTTTGGGAAGGGAACTGGACAAAGTTATAACATCTACAGATGTACAGGAAGAACCCAAGGGCAAACACAGCACTTGGGGCTACTTCAAAAAGGTTACAAACAGACCCAGGCTGAACAAGCATCCAGGGTGAGGAAACACCTGCAGGTCCTTACATCAGCAGAACAACTGTCAGTACAAGAGTCAAGAGTACAGCTGCTCTGGAACTGTATTCCAGAGCCTCTTGGAAGGCTCTCCCAGGAATGATACCTGCTCCACGGAGTTATCCATCACAACACAGGGAACCAGCCCTGTGAGGTACATTTCTAGCCCAGGCTGCAACTGTACTGACACAGTTTGTGTCAACACAAACAAGGCTCAGCAAGTAATAGGGCTCACCAGTAAAAGTTTGAGTACAAAGTCCAACTTGTGCTGTCATTAAGGGCTGTGAGCATTTCACATGCTACAAGTTCATTAAAAAAACATTTTGTCAAGAGGTCAGATTTCCCAGCTCAGTCTGATAAAGCAATGAAAGAAACAGGTAGTACTAATGTTACAAATGACTGGCTCCTACAAGGCTACTTTTAGTCTTTTTCACACGCAGCCACTTATCTAAGGCACCCAGGCACAGCTCAGAGTTGCTCAGTGTTCTCCAATGCTGAACAGCCTGCTTGACAGCTGAGCACCTTCACAGAATCACTTAGGTTGGAAAAGACCTTCAAGATCATTGAGTCCAAACACTAACCCTACTCTACCAAGTCCAGCACTAAGTCATGTCCCCCAAGCACCACATCTAGACAACTTTTAAACACATCCAGGGGTGGTGACTCAACCACCTTCCTGGGCAGCACATTCCAGCGTCTGAAGACCCTCTCACTGAAAAAGGGTTTTTCCTCCAGAAAGGAACACACACCAGCAATGCCAGGTCTCTGGCTTCTCACAGACACAGAGATGCTCCAGCCCCAGAGGTAAAAGGCAGAGGTTCACCCAGATCAACCCACTGTTTCCTAAAACACCAAATCAAAGGAGCAGCAACCTCTTGCTGCCATAGAGCCAACACCAGAAAACAAAGTAGGTTGTGGAACATGTTCAGAAAACAGTAATGTTAGCCAGCCAGAGGCCACACAAGAAAGAAACTTCTCCTCATGACTCAGCATGATTTTTTTCAGAACGAGCAGCAGTTTTGCTTATCTCCTCAGTACTCCTGTGAACACAACTGTGGGGGAGACAATCAACCCTGCAGGGCTACCTGTGTCAGTAAAAATGCTAGAGGAAAAAGGAAAAGGAAGACATAGCCACTTGTTTTTTACAACCAGTCACAGGAAAAGTCGAGATCCTTCCACCTATATAGCAGCAGATAATACAGTTTAAACACTTCTTGTAACACATCATAAGATTTGAAAAAAGAAAACACTTGTTCTAACATTTTCTGCTATTTTTGCCAAAGATAAGAAACTATAACTTATTTTAAAATTGTAACACTTAATACAATCTTATTACAGTTACCACTCATGGTCAACCCAGTAAATTATTCTTTGGCTGTGGCCAATGTGAAATTCTTCAGAGCCTGGGAGTCCTGTGCTATCTGGACAAGACTGAACAGCACAGGGATCTTGTATAAAATTTCCACACCCAGGAAGATGCACTGATTTCTATCCTGCAAGTAGAAAACTGCCTCCCCAGATGAATTTCAGGAGCTGCATCCACAAGACGGACTAACCACAGCCAGCTTACCTCCATCATCCAGGGGCCGTTTCTGCACTCCATAACCGTAGACTGAGGGGTCCACAAGTGTTGTAGAATTATTCAAGTGAGGAATATCTCCAATTTTAGCAGCAATCTATAAAAGCGGGGGATAAAGGCATGATTAATACACCTGAACTTTGAGCCACCACAGCTAAATACTTTCTTCCAATAAGGTATTTACCCCAGTCCAATATTTTATGAGATATTTACTTTACAGGTGCCTTTATAACAGTTCCAAGACAGCAGTGTTTCATTTGTAAAGTAAACAATTTTCTGCTTGCTTTTAATATTTGTTTAATTAAGACTGCATTCACCCAGTTCCTCTTCCTGTTCATCAGCAGATATTTACTCCTGGGAAGGTTTAATTCAGGTTTGTTCACTCCATGGACAGCTGACAAGCTAAATTTCACCAAGAGGAGAGTTCAAACTAGCTCACCAACTTTGTTCTGGAGAAGTTGCCACCACCACAGCTGTGTAGGAGGACTCAAGCTTCCTCCTGTCTGTGCATTTCCAGGGACATGGAATTGCATACTCACACATCAGCAGGGGAGAGGAGGGAGAAGAATGTGAAAATACATAGCACAAGGACAGATTTGGGAACTTCTTGTCAAAGAGACTGGATCATGTTGTGTTTACTGTACAAAGAATAAGCCAGCAGGCAAACTATTAGCCTGAAATTAGCTCATGTTGCCCATATCTCTGCTTCCAGCCCCTACAGAGGGGCAGTGGGCATCCCCTGCCAAGCCAGGATGCAAGCAGGGCTTTTACAGGAAGGAGGAGGCAGTCAGGTACCACAGTAAGGGGACTAAGGTAAGCCAATAAACCAGGTGAGAGAGATACCAAAACATCACTTAATCAATGTAAGTTAAACTAATTTCTAATGACATTTGGAAGACATGTATACAGAGGGATGCTGACAGACACAAGCTCTTTCCAGGGGTATTACTTTGGTGCTGCAGCCAAGTTAATACCCCCTTCAGGGGCAGGCAAACTGCAGTCTCACAGCAGCCCTTGTCTGCATCAAGAACTCTGCTGTAATAAATAAGTGCAGAACAAAGTAGTTACAGAACAAATATAAAGCATGGTGTCTTCTACAGCTTCCTTTTCCAGCAAAGAGAAAAATCACTGAATAGAGTCTTTACTAGGAGTCTGATCTCACTCTATTATAACTGGAATTTCACCAAAGAATAAGCACTGGGAACAGATGAAAGAACATTTTACACAGATCTGTTTTAAATGAAGACAAAGGGTAAATGACAAATGTGACTAAAAGTGTCTCTAAAATGTGAGTTTTACTTCACAGAAAGACTCTGGTTGTTGACACTATCAGCTGCTACAGTGGAATAAACTGTCCAAGATTCAGAACCACAGGGCACTTAAAGAAAGCTATTTGAAATAATCTTGAAAGATTGAGGGCACTGCTTTTAGCAAGAGCACAGAAAACATTCTCTTCAATGCCTTGCATGAAAAGGGCTCCAAGTTTAGACCATTTTATTCTCATAGTCCATCCTGTACTGTCCTCTTTTAGAAAGTCAATAACTTTGCTGTGTCAGAAATACCAGGGGCTGAAGTTTTCCTGCAGGACCAGCACAGTGATCATGCAGCAAAGCCTGATGCTGAGCACCTCATATAGCAACACCTTCAAAAATAAGAAGCCCACAGAAATCTGATTCTGAAAGCATTAACACAAACTACCTCTATTCCCCATACCTTAGGGAGCACCAAGTGATGCCTCTTTTTTTTGTTTTTGAAAAACTGTATTGCACCCATGGTTCCAGCCCTTTGCACACATTTCCACTTGCATTTAGGATGCAGAGGATTTGAATGAAGGTACAAAGGGCACGTATATTTCCTGACTACTTCAATGCTGAAAAATCAATTTAAAATACTACTTTATAACGATCTATTAGCAGCTTTCACATAACAACTTCCAAACCTATGCCAAAAGGAACAGTGTCAGGTATAACATATTTAACATGCCATTTCTGAATGCTCTGTTATTTACCTGAAGAAATCTGTTAAGCTGTGGAAAGTGCCAGCTGATAGTTTGGGAGATGAAAACACACACCACATGCTTAAGTGAAAGACAAAATAAGCCTGTGGATAGCAGAAGCTGCCCTACAAGAGACATGAAGCACAAAGCTGTGCATGAACAGATCACTAAAGCTGTCTGCTCCCAGAGCAGGAGAGCTTTGCAAACCCCTACCCATGCTTAGCACACAATTATCACCTTGACACAGAACTCTTCAAGTAAAGGGCAAAATAAGAGAGTCAAAGCAATATTTATATTATCAGCTTTAGGGATATTTTCTTTTCTCTCTCCTTTAAATAAACTTATGCCCTTATCTCTAAAGCCTCCCAGCTGCCACTGGATTACACACAGACAACACACCACCTCACAGCAGAAGGCAAAAAAATACCCTGCAAAAGTATAAGTTGAGCTTTTAAATTAGATGTGGTAGTTAATGCACATTTGCATGTCTTATGTTTGACTCAAAATGGGAACCTTGGGTTTTACTACAGGTTCAGC